TGGCAAAAGTAGCTGTAGAGGGTAACCTACAAACAGTATGAAAAGAATTGTCCTGAGAAATTGTCTACCCTCAGTTGTGGTGGTTCTTTTAAATCTTGAGCACTCTGGCTAGGAACAGGCATTACACACAAACTGGTTTAAGTGATCAGAAACTGGTTTAAACTTATAACAGATCAGATGTTCAGTGCACATAAACCAGTTTGAAAATTGGATGTAACCAGGTTGAGGTAAACCTGGTTGAATGTAGTATCAGACTAAACTGATTTGGCTCAAACTGGTTTTATGCAATGTCTGTCCCAGACCCCTTACTGGTTTAAGATAAACCAGACACTCCCAGCATGCTCTGTAGGCTGGACAGGGCTTTCTGCTTCACAGCAGGGCTGGCCCTTCCCCTCTGCTCCCTGGCTGGAGCTCAGTACAGACTTGTAGATACAGCAGGGTCTGCTGGCTTCCCTGTGTGCCCCTATCTCCCCCTCTCACCATTTGCTGCTTAAGAAGAGATCCCCTCCTCCTCCTCTCTGCCACAGCAGGGCTGTAGCCAGTATGTGGTACGCTAGCTAATGCCAAGAGAGGTGTGTGTCTCTAACTTCACTGGGTTAAGCAGACAGAACAATGACCACTTGAGGCTTTTGTAGCTAATTGGGTCAGCTGGTAAGCTGTTTAAGACATTTGAAGTAATGTGGAGAAAGGCTATTGTTTTGCTAATCAGGTGATAAAGATTGCTATCAGCCCCACCCCCTGGGCTGGCTTGCTTGTCTGTCAGTTTTGCTGCAGACAATATGACAAAGCAGGGACAGATTGAAAAGCTCCGTATCATCAACAAATGCATGCACTGCACACCCCTGCTTGCCTCGGAGTGCTAGCCTGGGGCTGGGAGCTGGCAACACTCCTGCCCCTTGAGCAGCCAACAGGGAAAAGCCTGCAACCATGCAGGCAGACCTCCCTAATGAGAGTATCATGCAGGGGCCTGGCCATGTCCCCTTCAGCTCAGTTTAGCTCCCTGCAGAAAGGAAGGGAGGAGGCTGTTCTAGTGCCCCTGGCTTCTAGCCTGAGCCACTGCAGGCATGTGCCTGAATTTCCTCAGTCCAGAAAGAATGTCTGTCCAGTTCAGCCTAGCCAGGTTAGACTAACCTGCAAAGATTGAATCAATTCAGGATCAGGCTTTTTGAATGTCTGTCCCTAGCCTCTGACATTTTGTTTTAGCAGTATTGGTAAGGTGCAAGTCAGCCCTACCTCCTGTTGCACCTAAGAGCTATAAGATCTTGTTGGAGATTTACCGTTTTAAGTTCATGGAGTCTTTGGCTCCGTAGGCAACAAAACCTTTACATAACAAAAATGTCTAACCCCCCCCCCACACACACACTGTTCTGAGCGTTTTTGCATTTGTACAGATGGAAAAAAAATAGCCGTATCTTTCAGGAGAATGGCTGCTGTGCACTTGAGCTACCCAGGAAGAACTGAAAAAATATGAAAACCAATAACCATCTGTCACACTCATCCTTCCTCATGCTGCTGGTGTGGTTGGGTAATGTGACATACCAGCTTTCACCTTTGCCATTTTACAACTATGAAGCCTATTTGATACCAGCACTTAAACAAGTGTCATCAACTCCCACCTCCATTTTCATTTCCCTCTTTGTTCTTGATGCGGTAGAGAAGACCAAAGATGCTCATCAATAGAGGAAAGGATTCATCTAGGCATGGTAACCTAGCAAATTGGACCAGTTTTTCTACTGTGTGAGGCAAGGATCTTCTTGCTTGAAAGCATTTCCAGGACTTGCTAGGCAATTTGTCATGTTTAACTGTTTCAGCCTTTGTTTCTGCTATAGGCAGCCAGTGTGGGTTTTCACCTAACATCCTTCAAAGGCCCATCTAAGAAACCCAGTTCCCCAATGGGAACTATAAATTTAATTAAACCACTGAGGTCATGGCAGGTATACCTTAGAACTAGGAATCTCTGGAATTTGCGATGCAAGTGCACAGCATGACAGCTTCTTTAACCTTGGAATTTCCCCCATGCGCCTCCCCTGATGCTGATTGGCAGAGGGGCCCCATCTCTCACCCCCTGCGTCTGAAACAACAGCTGTAACTTTCACCTCCTGGCCATCAGGTGTGGGTGGTGAGTGGGGGAAACTCGTAAGATGAAAGAAGGTGGTACTGTGCTATGTACTTCTGGTGTGAATTCCAGAGATCGCTACTCAAAACCCACCCAATGTTTGTCCTTCAAGTGATCAGTTTTCCACCTCGTGGATTAATTTATCAGCCTTCTTTACAAAACCTCCTGAATGGAGACCTCATTGTACTCTTTAAACAAAAATCTGACTCATGCAAACTAGGCTAAAGACCAAGCCCTTTGGACAAATCTTCCAGGGTTTCTCTAGCTGAGAGATCAAAATCTGTAGGGAATACAGCTCAGTTTATCTAACTGGCTGTTGGACTGTTTCCACATGTGAAGCTTGATAGATGCTAGAACTGGGCATTATACTGTTGGACATTTCAAGGCCACTGTTGCTTTCAGTATGGAGGCCCTATAGTTTTACCTAGGAAATTAAGACTTGTCTCTGTGTTCTGGGGTACTATTTCAGAGTTGCCTACAAGTGGGACTGTTCATATGGGCATTTACTTGATAATGGAGACAAGTTATCTATCTCAAGTTCTTTGAGATTCATTATTGACATACAGTGTGCCTCAGGTATCTATTTTCTTCTCTTCAGACAAATGTAATATAGGTCTCTGAAAGAAGTAGGATTCCCTTAGTATGGGGTATGAGCAAGGTGGCTTACTGACTGTTGCAAAGGCAAAAAGTCTGTGATCAAGCAGTTGGAGTCTAACACTTGTGCAGAAATGAGAACAGTACCTATTAAATCAAGTTAATGATAATCTTTCCGCCTTTCTGACTCTTACCTTGTTTTTAGTTGCACCTTATAATACTTTTCAAAGATACTACTTTTAAGTCAACAAAAAATAAGGTCAAGGTTCTCAGTTATTCAATGGTTGCATCTACATGTGCACTTTACTCTGGAGCTAATTAGTCTACTCTGCAGTAAAGCGTCACCATCTACATGTCCTCTGGTATTAGGCCTCTGTAAACTAATGGACTGCACCATAAGACACTACTGTCTGATGGTAAAGTAATGTACTGTACTAAAACACGTGTGTAAACAGTGACCAGGCAAGAGCGAAACTCCTGCCTGCTGCCTAGCTACACAACTCCGCAGGGTTCAGCACCCTCATGCCCCAGCCAGCCTCTCCACTGCCTGAGGCTGACTCCCTGTTACCCCCTGCCAGCCTGGACTTGCTCCACCATGGCTAAACCTGGGCATAAGTATAGATGCTGTGCTTGGGAGTAATTTAGTCCAGCTCAAACAGCCCCTGAGTTTATTGCTTTGTCTTAATTTCACGTGTAGAGGCACCCAATGTGGCTTAAATATGTAGCTATTCATGTAATCTTGTACTCCTTTATGTTAAGGGAGTTATCCATGTAAAGAGAATTGAATTATTTATCTGGACATAAACTGGAATTAAGTTGAGATGTTTTATTGAAGTATGTCAAATCAAAAGCTAAAACACTTTAAGCCTTTCAGCTGCTGTATGTTACAGTTGAAGCACTATAATGCCCCATATGTGAGTTTGGGAGATTACAAATTTAATTTCAGGTTGGCATAATTCGTAATATCCAGATGATAATCCCAAAATGCTTGAATTGATGGATGAGAGAGGATTGTAATTTTCAGAATCATTTGCATGATTAATATCACCTTTTAAAATGTTTCAGTAAATGCTGAGTACCGGCCTGGTTGAAAAGGAATTTTTTTCAAAATATTAATACAGCTGAATTACTAGTCAGATTCCTATCATCCTAAATTACATGTTATTTGGGCGCATCTACACAGCGCACTACAGCCATGTAGCAATTGCTGTATCGGCACACTCCCTCAGTATAGTGTCCCACTATGGTGACATAGTGGTGAAAATCTGACCAGGCACTACATGCATGGCACAGTAACCACCTGCACTATGCCATACTTTAGTACTTCCACAAGGAAGTACTAAAGCACAGCACCGTAACATTGTCACTGTATGCACCCATTGTTACTGACTCTAACTCTGCATCTGGGCAATCTGTTGTTTTTAAGAGTAGAAATAGAATTCAAGAGAAAATGAAATTCAAGCCTCTGGTAAGCTTGCGGAGTTACCTGCATCTGAAGTGAAAATAAATTAAGACTGCAAGCTGGAACTTAGAGGTATGATAAAAGAGTAACAAAAGTTACTATAAGTCACTATGGAAAACAAAGCAGCTTGAGTTTTTTATAATGTAAGTACCTGAACAAAATCATTGTAGTTTGGTCACCTCAAGCCTAACTGAAAATGAAGTTTCTTCAGTTATAAAACATGCTATAGATTTTTTCTTCTTGGTATACATTTTTAAATTTGGACATAAAGAACTCCAATTTTCCATTCACTTCTCCATTTCTGTAGTTGAGGAGAATGCTGAACACCTGTAAAATTTCACGTTTCTCCTCTAAGCAAAAGTCTTCTGTTTTCTTTTTTGTGAAGGTTCCCAAAAAAGCGAGCAGAAAAGGTAATATCTAAAAGCAAGCAATGTCACTTTTAGGGTTTTTGAAATTGAAAATTACAATCATTAAGCCTCATAAGATTAAAATAATTAGTTTAGGTAAAATCTTTCAGCAAGTGCCAGTTAAGGTCTGGGACATTACTCAGAACCAGTAAACTAATTTTGGTATATGCTATATGAAATATTGCTCTTATTCCTGTACAGAAGATTACTCAGTAAATAAACACTCATCAAAAGGCTGCACAGCTGATTTGTTGTCGGTGAGTTTAGGGCACATAACTTTATTTTAATGTAACAATCAATGGTGATTTAATAATACAAAAAGTTGAAATTTGTCCAGAATCTTTTTAATGTTTTACTTTCTGTTGCTATTAAAAATATGGAATTAACTTTAGTGTCAAATGTCTCTCACTGTTTAATGTAGGATTGATCTTCCTCCCACACACAAACCACCACCTTCATATGAAGAAAGAGCTCTCTCTGTGTCTCAGAAAGAAATCATTCTTCAGGTAGGTAAACAAGTATGTTTTATTTTTTTTAATGAAATGAACAAATAAATACTAACTTAAGCTGTCCTGCTTGAAGTAGCATGCTGTTTTTTATAGTTCCTGACAATGTCAGCTGAATAATGTTGGATATCTGCAGTATACAACTATTGAAGCTGGCTTTACTTACTTCTAACAACTTAATGACTGTTCTCAGTACAATATTGTTTTAACTTTTGTCTAGAGTTGTGAGCTACCATAATTCTGACATCCATGTGTTTTAAAGACAGTTTAAAATATACTTAAACTGTTTTGCTTCAGGGTAAGTTGGATGTTACATACTTCAGAAAATAAGATTCCTTATCACGCAGGAGGCAGAACTTAGTTGTGTATGTAATTAGTCAATGTGGGATTCCTCAAATAGCATTACTAATACTATTTTTTTTTACATGAAAGAATGAAAGTGGGGTGGGGGACCTTATACTAGCTTTTGGTACCTAAAAATCCATGGTGAAAAATCGACTTTTTTCCTTTTTGTAGGCTGGTAAAGGGCTGCTGGTTCCATGATTTGCACCCAGTTGTGATTTGGTTGAACTAGTTTCATTTGCTGTCAGTTTGGCTTTCAACTATCTGGTGGATAGTTGTCAGTTTTCACTGAAGTTTAAATCTTCATTGAAGCTCCAGTAAAAGATAAACATTTCCATATGAGAGCACCAGATGAAAATTTTAGTTCAAGTTAAAAGTTTGCTACATGTACTAACAGCCACTTCCAATGAAGGAGAACTTAAACTGAAACTATATACTCTTTTGTATTGTTGAGATATGACAGGACCAGAAGATGAGGCTGAGGGTAATACTGAAGGCCATAGAGTTCCATTAATGTAGGGGTGGGCAATTATTTTGGGTGGAGGGCTACTTAATGAGTTTTGGTGAGATGTTGAGGTTTGCAAGAGTAGCCCCTCCCCTTGACATATATGCCCTGCCTCCTGGTTGCCATCTTGGGACCTGAAGTCCCACCCCCTAGCCCCTGACCTTTGCCACTGGACATCTCTCCCCTTGCCCCCAGAAATACTCCTTTTGGGAAGGGGGTTTGCCACCATGGACCCAGAAAAGACAGACAAATGTATATACTAAAAATCA